CTGTGTACATGTTTTTAAATTCTGTCAAGGCTGGAAAGTGAGGATGAGGCAGCTCCTGGCCAGACATGAAGGCAATTCTCCGATCTGTCCATTTTAAGGATGGAGCGTAGCAGGCGGAGTCAGTTACTTTCCAGAACCCTATGGGGAGAAGAACAATTTGGCAGCGACTTTAGACAAGGAGCCTCATTGTTTACTTTAGCGACGCGTCCAACTTCAATTTCTTCCCTATTCAGATACGTCACAGCACTGTCTTCTAACTGTTTTTTTTTCTTTTCCGAAAACGGAATATTTCCGCAAACTCTGAGTTCAATAAGAACACCATTATGTTCCACACCAGCAGCATTTAACAATGCCGTTCTACTTTATCGGTGAAGTCAAAACTATATTGGTGTAATAAAGGGGGTTAAATTCGAAGTCTCCATCCCTTGCATTAATGCCTTATCTTCCTTCATAGCATGACTACAGTTTTTTTTATTGAGTTCACTCCTTGCAGGACAGTAAAACACAAGGGTTTACTGAACAAGATCAAAAGAAGACTAATCAGGAGGAAAGTAGATAGCAATAGATTCTTGAAGATTAAAGTTGGCTTGGAAGCATGGAGCCGGAAGGAAGCACCACAAGTGAGAAATGCGAAAAAAGAAAATTAGCATAGATTTTACGGTTACATCTAGCCAACTTAACTGGAATTTGATCAAATCTCGACTTAAATTCTAATGTCAATATTTTGCTTTTCTAGTATTTTCGAGTGTTGGACAAAACTGTTCCTAGCGCAGCCTAATTTATGTTCAAGTTCCTTATCTCCTATACTAAATTTGCTATGACTTATCCATGCAATGAGGAATTTGAATAGTTTAGAATTTATTAATTCCATATTCTGAATTTTTAGGATGGATTCATGGTATGCGCCATCACTATTATCATTCAATTTCCAAATCTTTTATCTGTTTCGGAAAAGTTTATTTTAAGTCCTACTTTTTGTTACAAAGAATGCTGATTAAGCAAACATAAAACCAACAGCGCATTGCTATATTCTATTGTTTAGTACTTTGTACTCTATTGTTATACTGTATTGTTTAGTAGGCTGCTATCGTAGAATATTACCTTTGTATCATAAACATCTCTTTCATCCTAGTGAGGGACTCAGGATACGTTTTTAGAGACCTTTCAGTGCTTGGCTTATAATGTTGCTTAACAAGCTTATTAGGCAGATTTTGACATTATGCAGTGAGTTGAATATTAACTATTAACTATATTAAGTTCGAGACATATAGGGACAATATAATTGTAAACTTTTGTCGTACTTTTTCTTCTGTGACATGTCCCTTCTGGACATGAATAATCATGGCTCTCTACAATTATCCAGTTTTTTGTTGCTCTACGCACACTTAGACACTTTTCCTTCCTCTACCCACTCACGGAAAGTTCTCAGTTGTTTGCTCACTGCTCACTGCTCTCTCTCTCTCTCTCTGTTTCTTTTTCATTTAGTAAGACTTTCTAATTCTCCAAGCCTTCTATCCTCATTACCCAGGCCAGGAATTTCAACTGTCTCTTTCTGATTGTAAATTAAAACTTAACGTACGACAATGTCATTGTTCACATGTTCTATATGTGACATTCTCGATATAATGAAAAAAAAAAATAATGCCAGCAATACATTTTTCGAAAAAATATTACCATGCAATACATTTTTAGAAAAAAATATTACTAGCAATACATTTAAAACAAAAAAAAAATATTACCAGCAATACATTTTTCAAAAAAATATTACCAGCAATACATTTTTTCAAAAAAATATTACCAACAATACATTTTTCAAAAAAATATTACCATTAATACATTTTTCAAAAAAATATTACCAGCAATACATTTTTCAAAAACATATTACCAGTAATACATTTTTCAAAAAAATATTACCAGCAATACATTTTTCAAAAAAAATTACCAGCAATACATTTTTCGAAAAAAATATTAGCAGCAATACATTTTTCGAAAAAATATTAGCAGCAATACATTTTTCAAAAAAATATTACCAGCAATACATTTTTCGAAAAAACAATATTATCAGCAATACATTTTTCGAAAAAACAATATTATCAGCAATACATTTTTCGAACAAAATATTACCAGTAATACATTTAAAAAAATAGCATTAATACATTTTTGAAAAAAAAATTGCCAGCAATATATTTTGGAAAAAAAATTGACCACCAATACATTTAAAAAAAAAATTAGCAGCAACAGATTTTTGAAAAACAAAATATTACCAGCAATAAAAATCTTGCCGTCATTAAATAACCCATTGAGGTTGTTATGCCGTAAAACAAACCAAACCAAACTAAACCAAAAAACACCACTTAAGATTTTCATTTAATTCAGAATTAATCAACCGATGTTAACAAAACTTTCACGATACGGTTAGATGAACAAATTATTTTGTGGGTTTCAGCTTATAATATTTTTGTCTTAATATACTGTTTCCCTTCAGAACTTAGATGATTATGGCTCTCCACTGTCTCCTATTTCTTTATAATCCTTGCATTTCCTATACTTCTTGGGAAAGACAGTAGAGTGATTTTTTTTCCTTCTCTGAGGTTTTTAGTTCAGAGTAATCCTCTTAGACAAACTTCTACCTAAGACTAGAGAGGTAGGTTTTCACTACTATTTAGCCCATAGCTGGAGCAAGAAAGGGTTTACCGTATTTTCCAAGTGGATAATACAAGAGTGAACATAATAGAGTAGGCTTGAATTCCACTTTCCTCTCCGATAACCTTTACATACAGTTAAATTATATATATTTTAAAAATATAATGATAATAAGTTAATGATAAGTTGTTTTGTGTCTGTAACTTGTTCATTACAAATTAAGAGTAATATGAACTTTTATTTATAAATAAATAAAACATATAGGCCATAAAAACACTTATTTTCTTAACCATACACTACATACGTTTGAAGAAACATTTATCTTATGCATTTGTGAGGCGAAGACGGAAATAAACACCAAATGGCAAAAAATGGTTTCTGAGTCGGGGAACTGCGCATTCTCCCGGTTAATAAATTAATTCTGGGTACATGGCAGCAGTCCCAATAAACTGGGATAGGCGGGTACAAGAGGAGGACAACAACATTCAGAAAACAGTCTGACTGCCTTATGGGAAGGGGCTATCAGAGAAAATCTTCGAAGGATCTTCGGTTCATATAACATCAGGGCAACCTTCAAAAGCTTGACGACACTTCGCAGATATCTCTCCCATAGAGGATAACATGACTAAAGACTGTGTGTACTCTATCCCGTGAAGCTGCGAAAAGAAATATAAAGGGGAGACAGGCCGCCCCCTTAAGGTAAGGCTTCAAGAACACCAGAAAGCTGTAACATGGGGGGAAGTGGAAAAATCAGGCGTGGCTGACCACATATGGAGAGAGAAGGGAGATCACCGTCCTCTGTGGAATCAGATTGAGTGGATGACAGAACGTGGTCTAGGGAAGGAAGCAGAGAGAAGGAACTTGTTGAGAGCTGCAAGGGACAGAAAGATGTGGAGAGCCATGATCGCCTACGTCCTGAAAGGATATGGCACATAAAGAGAAAAAGATCCCGAGAGTGTGTTGGCCATTTAATTAATTTGGCGTCTTTAAAATGTTTTTGGCAACGTGGGCAATTGCGAGATTTACAATATATTGAAGCATTATCTTGCATGAATATACGCTTTAGCTTAGCTTACGGCCACATCAACGTTTAGCTTGAGCAGTAACTAGATGGGTGACTGTTTTGGAATATGAGGAACTGTAAGCCGGTATGTGCGGTTGGTGTAATGATTAGCAGCTCAGAATTCTTAATCGTAGAACCTAGTTCCAATCCTATTTGCGTTCGATATATTTACTTAGGCTCGAATACCTTTGGGAAAGGTATGAATTCAATTATGGTCCAAATATAGGTTAATTAGGAAGACTTCTGTCACTAAACCATAATCATCTAAAAAAAAAAAAGTCTTATAATCTAAAAATATTTTCTGATTTTAAATAACCTACAAAAGGTTGATAAGCCGTAGAAAATGAAAAATCGTTTTGCATAGACCCCTAAAAAATAAAACATTAAAACATCTAGTCTGAGAGTTTAATTCTCCGCATCTGTCATCTGTTTTGAAGGGACTTATAAATTTACGATTAAACATTTAAACTTTTCGTCTAAACATTACTTGTCACCACTCGTTGTCCCTTAAGTCGTGTAGTTTCATTATTTCCATAAAAATCCAACCTATGGCTCAGCCATCACGTTCATACAGTGTATTCATTACTAAAAGAAAGTTTTTATGTACTTATTCGCTTAACTTACTCATTTCTCCTTGGAATGTTTACTTAAAGGTGGTAACGTGGCTGCCTGCATGTCTTCAGCCAACGTAGTTAATATTCTGCGTACTTTCTCTTTATTTACATTCACAATATCAGGTTCTTAAAATATTTTCTTGTTGTTTAATCTACTAAACTCAAGTAACTTTTGTCACATTCTTAAAACCGGTATTTTTCTTGTTTTTTTGTGACAATGTTTTTAAATTCTTTGAATAATACTGCGATCGTTGGTCAAGATTTTTCGCAATTTCTAACATCGTGTTTTTAGCACTCAGTAAGTGTATTGTATCTTTTCTATATTTATATTTTCAAATTTTATTTTTCTCAAGAACAATTGTAATCTTTATATCGCCTTCACTAGCCCCGGAACCAATTAAGGTCGTAGGGTCACCGTATGTAATGCAGACATAACTTCAGTGGCGTACCTCGAGCAAGATAGCCCGACGAAATGAATCCTCTGCTGGCTGGTATGGATTCTCATTCTGCTAGACTGGTTTCAAACCAAGATTATACGGGCAAATCAGCCCTACTATTTATCCATAGAGAAGAGATAAATTCATGACTTTTCTCGATGGTATTTTGCTGTAAGTGATGGGAACGATTTTAACTGGGATATATATATATATATATATATATATATATATATATATATATACATAGAGAGAGAGAGAGAGAGAGAGAGAGAGAGAGAGAGAGAGAGAGAGAGTAGGGCATTATGTATAATGACTAAAAGTATAGCCAAAAGAGCTCGTACAGAAAAGAAGAAAATTATAAGAACACAAGAAAAGTTAAATAAATAATACCGCAGTAACTTGTCAATTGTTCTTAATGAAACTTGTATAAAAGAGGGATTGCTGACCATATATATATGGATAAATATGAAAACACATTGGTCTCTCTATATGTACAGACCTTGAAAAATGTATTGCTGGTATTAAAACCTATTTTTACACATTCATAGTGTTTTAACCGCATTTTGGGTGATAACTATTTGCCAGTAGCTGGGACCCTAACAGGATTTACAACACCCCCACGGGTCAGGTGGATCTGAGAACACCAGCAATTAGGATGTAGTTTATCGTCATACCAAGGACACTTCATTGGGTTGGGTTTTTCTTACCATTCTGCAGAGATGCAGTCTGCGTATTCAGAAGACCAAGCCCACAGGGCGATATTTGGCTTGAATAAGTCCCTCAGAGGATGAAACACATCGGCTAAGATGAGTTTTCCTTTTGTCTTTATATATATATATATATATATATATATATATATGGGAGAAAGAATAGATGAAGTAAAATTACACTGAACATAACATTTACTTTTAATAAAGTGTCCTATAAAAAGTATAGCCATATTTTATTGTTATTTTTTTTATCATACTATAATAAAAACATTTAATTGAGAAACACTTCACCAGAAATAATCCACTTACTAAGATTTTTAACAGAAATACACTAAAACTAAGCTATAGCTATTCCGATAATATTGAAAAATTATTAAAAACATAATAATAAAATTTTAAATCAATACAAAAATCTGGGACTTTTTTGGGAGCGTGCGGTCGCAACGCTGAGGTTGAATTTTTAAATTTTAAGATTTTGCATTTTTGTACTAATATGGTAATAGGAGAATTCTTTTGTCCTGGTAGGTTTTTCAGTCAATGTGACATGAACTAAATTGTTCAATAAATAGAGGAATGTCACAGTTATTATCCGCATTTGCATGTCGGATTAATTATTATAATATCAAGTATGTAGTGCAGTTCAATTTACATTACATGAAAAACAGATATAGAAGTTAATGATATAAATGGCGAGAATACATCTTCGCAAACAAATTTAATAAAGTACATTAACCCCGAACATGTAGATGAATATTATGATCCTTGTTAATATGTTTTATATATCATATCATATCGGTGTAAGTTTAAATATAAACTGTGAAATTGGCCATAATTAAAAAAGTAACATGACGCGGGTAGACGCGATACGTGAAAAACGATGAAAACTAGGACAACAAATTTCAAATCATTAAAAAAGCCTTCCGTCGATTTATAAACAAACCTATATATATATATATATATATATATATATATATATATATATGAAAAGACATTTTTATGTTTATACGTTCTTTTTATAGATACAAATATTTAAGTAAATACTCTGTTTATAATAAACAGTATTAACAACATTTACCGGCCTGAATGTCCGAGAAATTTTCGTAGAAAATATGCGTCCTATATGACGGTTCCGTATAGGAGACAGGTTCGATTCCTGTCGGAGGACGCATATTTTCCATGTAAATTTCTCGGACATTCAGACCAGTAAATGTTGTTAAAACTGTTTATTATAAACAGAACATTTACATAATATAAATATTTGTATCTATAAAAAGAACGTATAAACATAAAAAATGTCTTAAAATAATTGTCGGACTTTGTCTATTTCATAATATATATATATATATATATATATATATATATATATATATATATATTCAAGCAAAAAGAAATATTGTCCAAAACCTGTTATAAAAAATAATGGGTAAATTATCGTTGGTACTAAATCAAACATATATATATATATATATATATATATATATATATATAGAGAGAGAGAGAGAGAGAGAGAAAGCTCACCCAAATATATATACACACTTTATGAAGTAAAAATTGTATAGATATTGTAATACTAAAGTCATTCATCACTAGATTAGTACAAGTTACATTTGGACTCTAAAATCACAAAAGATGTTAAAATGGTGACCCTTTAATTTCCATACATATACCAGTATGGCATATTACTGCTAGAACAACATTCCTTGAAGTGTCCAGCGGGATAGCTGCACATGCATTTTCAATATAGACGCCAATATAGACGGTTTTCTGCGATACACAACATCCTACAGTGTTATCACAATTTGATAAAACTATGAAAGATAAATTTTTCCTTTCTTGAAGTATTTATGCAGTTTTAGGCAAATTGTACACACACACACAGACACACACACACAAACAAACACATGCATACATATATATATGTGTGTGTGTGTGTGTGTGTGTGTGTGTGTCTGTTTGTGTGTCTGTGTGTGTCTGTGATAAAAAAATAAATTTTCATTTATCTTGTTTCTATTCCGAGTTTCGCTGAGTTACATCCATTCTTCAGGAGAGTTTACTGGAAAATTTTACAAAGCCTCTCACGCTTCCTACTACTGCATGCAAAACCAGAAATAAATAAGAGAATGTAGAAAGATTTTCACGAAGACTAATGGAATGGAAAGAAAATGTATTGATCAAAAAGGAATAATGAATGAAACAAAATATATAAATAGAAATGAAAGAAAAACATAGAAAAAAAAGGAAAGAAGAAAGGAATAAAAAGATTTACGAAATGACAGTTTCAATCGAAAAAGAAAAAAAATGAATGTGTATGCAGAGAAAAATAAAGAAAGAAAGAAAGAAAAAGTAAAGGAAAGAAAGTGATAAGAATAAAGAGAAAGAAGATCTATGCATTTGAGAGGAACAAAAAAGGAATGTATGAACAAAAAGAACAAAACACCTAATGAAAGAAGGAAAAACAGGAAGGAAAGGAAACACTTAAAAGATGACCTGTTGAATGAAAGGAAGATATCTTGTGCGTGAAGAAAGAAAGGAAGAAAGAGAGAAAAAAGAAAGAAAGTTGGAAATGAAAAAGGAAAAAAGGTGAGTAAAAGAAAGACATAGAGAAGAGATATGGAATGAAAGAAAAATATCAAGGCGCATGAAGAAAGAAAGAAAGAAAAAAGAAAGAGTAGGGAATGGAAAAGGAAGAAAGGGAAAGAAAAGAAAGGCTTAAAGAGGACATCAAAATGGAAGAAAGATATCTGGCACTGAAAGAAAAAAGAAAGAAAGAAAGAAAGAAAAAAGAAAGAAAGAATAAGAAATGAAAAATGAAAAAAAAGGGGAAGGAAAAGAAAGCCTTAAGGAGGACATAGATGGCCTGGAGAATCTGATACTCACGGATGAAATAGAGACAAGGGGAAACAGCGCGTGACATACCTGACGAGTTGAGCAGGTGGATGAGAGAACGTGGTCTAGGTGAGGAAGCAGAGGGAAGGAACTTGTTGAGAGCTGCAAGGGATAGAGGGAGGTGAAGAGCCATGATCGCCTACGTCCTGAAAGGACATAGCACATAAAAATATAATGAATAAATATATCTGGCGCAGAAAGAAAGAAAGAAAGAAAGAAATTGTTATATACCGTACCTATCAACATTAATGGGTATGTCCCAATCCTCATAAATACATTGGACACTATTGGGGGTAATATGCTGTTTAAGTAGTCCACCCCTGGCAGTGGTTTACCTGCTTCACGCCGCTGGCGGGTATTGTATTTTGTTGATGTTACGATTTCATTTCCAATGTCCGTTTTGGTTATTCCTCATTCAGTAACCTTTTCTAGGTTACAATACAAAGAAAGAAAGAAAGAAAGAAAGAAAGAAAGAAAGAAAGAAAGAGTAGGAAATGAAAAAGGGGAAGGACAGAAGACATGAAGAGGACATATAGAATAAAAGTAAGATATCTGAGGCATGAAGAAAGAAAGAAAAAAGAAAGAAAGAGTCTGCAATGAAACAAATGAAAAAGGGTGTAGGAAAAGAAAGATATAAAAAGGACACATGGAATAAAAGAAAGATATCGGGGGCATGAAGAAAGATAGAAAAAGTAAGAAATGAGAAAGGAAAAAAGGAGAAGGAAAAGAAAGACATAAGATGGACATATGAAATGAAAAAAGAGATGGGCAGTGCATGTGGAAAGAAAGAAAGAAAGAAAGAAAGAAAGAAAGAAAGAAAGAAAGAAAGAGTAGGAAATGAAAAAAGGAAAGGGGAGGAAAAGACATACAGATGACATAGGATTAAAGACTGAGATCTGGCACATGAAGAAAGGAAAAAGAAAGAGAGGCAGAAAGAAAGAAAAAGAAAAAGAAAGAAAGAGAGAAAAAGCAAAAGAATAGGAAATGTAAAAAATGAAAAAAGAGAAGGAAAAGAAATAAAAATGTCATATGGGATGAATTGAAGATATCTGGCGTATAAATAAATAATGAAAGAAAGAAAGAAAAAGATCAAAAGGAAATGAAAGAAGGAGAAAAGAAGAAGGAAAGGAAAAGCGTAAAAGAGGATATATCGAATGAATGGGAGAGATCAGAGACATAATGAAAGAAAGAAAGAAAGAAAGAAAGGAAGAAAAAAGAAAGAAAGAAAGAAAAATAGAAAGAAAGAAAAATTAGGTAAAAAAAGAAAAAGTAGAAAACAAAATAACAAAGGAAAGATAGATAAAAAAAATCTCAGAGGAATTAAGACCGAAACAATATGGCATGAGTTAACGGCGAATACCCCCAGAAAATTTGGGTAGTGACCTAAGAAGAAAGGTAGGTTGAAATGTACCCGCCAATAAATTATAACGTCGTCGTCTGAATGTGTCGAAAGCTTTTCATTTGTTCAGATGAGTTGTTTTTTTTTCAGTTTTAACGTTACTTGACAGTGACACTCCAAATCGCAGTCATTTGGTCACCTTGAAAAAAAAAAAACAAAAAAAAAAAACTCTGTCTCGGCCAAACCCATTTTATTAGAAACCAAATAATAGACGAGAAACGAATTTATTCGGCTTCATTGGCCCAAAGACTTTTGATCTGTTACGCTTCGTTTCGCTGTGATTGCAATACAAATCGACCCGACTTACCACCCTTGGTTTCCCTATCCAGACCTGTTTTGTTGTGAGACTCACAGTAATAGATTTCTCACGAGTAAGACATACAAAACAAACTTAAATTCAGACTTAGACAGTTGTTAGTCGCTTCTATAGTGGCTTTTATCAAGTTTTGATGGATATCAACAAAAAATCAAAATGGAACAAAGAACCATGCTTTATTTGTTTTTTTTATATAAACAGAAAAGATATACTATAGAAAAAATACCATCGATAAAAAAATCGAGATCTTAAAGAACGTCAAGAATTTTGTGTAAAAAAACCCCCAAAAACTAAATCATTTTTTATCAATTTGAAAAAATAACATCGATAAAAAAATCGAGATCTTAAACAATGTCAAGAATTTTGTGTAAAAAATCAAAGAAAAAATAAACCATTTTTTATCAATTTAAAAAAAAAATACCATCGATAAAAAAATCGAGATCTTAAAGAACGTCAAGAATTTTCTGCCATAAAAAACTAAATCTTTCTTTTATCAATGTTAAAAAATACCATCCATAAAAAAATTGAGATCTTAAAGAACGTCAAGAATTTTGTGTCAAAAAACCCGACCTAAATGATTTTTTATCAATGTAAAAAAAAATACCATCGATAAAAAAATTGAGATCTTAAAGAACGTCAAGAATTTTCTGCCATAAAACCTTAATTTTTCTTTTATTAATTTTAAAAAATACCATCCATAAAAAAATCGAGATCTTAAAGAACGTCAAGAATTTTGTGTCAAAAAAAAACTAAATCTTTTTTATCATTCTTAGCAACATCGTTAACCATTACTTTTGTTTCTATTTTATTTATTTTTATTGCTATTGCCGTCATTTTCTATGGACGTGTGACCGAATGATCAGAACAGTGGCTTTCTGATGATGAGGCCCAAGTTCGAATTTCCCCACGCTCGATTTGTCAGGAAGGTAACTTCTTGATGTTATCGGACTGAGAGAGTTGACCCCCCCCTCGCAAGTAGCACGTTTGAAAATGATACCACGGGTTGACCCAACTCTTGGGAGTAAAATTATGTAAACATTAGAAAGCCATCAATCATTCAGCTAGCACAAAATGATAAGTCATCGTTGACAGAGGGTTTGAGTGTACTGTCGTTGTTAAAAAAAATGTCCACACCTTATTAGCCACTCTCTCCCAGAAACTCTAACTTAGATCCCCTCAGCATAGTTGCAATATTAGGTGGGTTGAGTAGCCGTCTGTACTTCAATTCGACTAGCAGCAGCTTTGGCAGACGAGTGGTCTTGGAAATGAGAAGTAATTGGCTATTAATTAATTCTAATTATTTTATAGAGGGATCATATTTTTCCGACGTGGTGTAGTTGTGTACTTTCATCGTTTGTATTGAACCTTAATACAAGCTACTTACACATCTGAAGCCGATTAGATTCAACACAAAACTTCAATCACCTGGAATACGTACCTGGTGATTATTAACCATTAAACAGGAGAGAACGGTTTCACCGGCGTGTACGTCAAACGTTTAAGAAACAAGAAAATCTATTTTTTCCAAGCGGTAGAGCCATGTCTGTTTTCGTTTTAATTATAAACAAAAAAAATATAAAAAGGACATTTTAAATATTTTAGCTTGAATGCGGAGGCACGGCTAGATCGCTTATTTATAGTATTTAAGTGATGGAGAGTTCCTCTTTCAAGGGAGACAATTGTCATCAGGAGAGGTAACACCTGCTAGTCTATACCACACTATTGTTCACTCAATATCCAAGAGCCACCCAAGAGAATTACAGAGCGAGGTTATTGTATGAACGTATAAGTGCAGATTAGGAAGTGACGTAGGAAAGATAAAGGTTAACCCAAGACTTGAAGAGGTTAAGATTCTCCGATCGGGGAAGCATCCTCGTGGGAGTCTGTTCTACAAAGAAGCGTTTCTTGGGAAGAATTCGTCCGGATGGAATTTCATTTTTTTATGAATACGAAGTGAATAAGAATAGTTCCCCTCAATGTACAGCCTGGTCCGAAAGTCTTGTCACCACCTACTTCTTGGGTAGCACAGATGCGTCCACTGATGCAAATGTTTCTCTTCGGCTCGTCCTGTCCTCTGTTTGTCTTTAATTGACCCTGTGAGAAACAGTTTATGTTCCCATCGCAGTATTATCCTCTTCGGAGGAGCTGATTTGCCGAAATTTGCAGTAAAGTCATATCGCACATCCTCCATGCACTTGGCTGAATGTACAGGATCATGTGTCTATACACTTGCAAGCAGCCTCGCTTGCAAACTGTAGGTCTTTGTGTCAGCCATCTGAAATAGAAAATTATATTATGTAAGGGTGACGAGACTTTCGAACCACCCCGTTCATGTGTTGGTGGGACTATGTTGTGAAAGTCTGAACTGGTAGAACTAAGAAATGTAGCACATATAGAACATTTTAAATGGAAAATAATGTGGGTTAAAACGTTTCATCTGCGAGAAAGGGGTTCTACAGGGGAAAATAATCCATCACCCACAAGGACGCGAAGACGCTTTTTCACTCTATTAAAACTGGAACGTGAACACTAAGCAGCTCTATCCCAGATACGGCAGGATTACTACATTTGTCATCTTATCCGACTTTTGTAAAGTTAAGGCGTAGGAGAAGGAGTCAGGTATTTACTGGGGGAGTACAAGGAATCGATTATGTTCTACCATCTTTAGGGATTGATAGTATATATATTCTACTTGAGATTGCGGGCTGAAACTTGAGTCCCAATAAGCGCCCAAAACAAAGAGTTTTATTGACATTAATAACGTTCATCGTGATAGTTGAAAATTCAGAATCTGCTTTAATTTGGTTTTATTTATTTCTCGGGATATCAACCTCAAGATTTTTAAAATAGGTCCGTATGAATAGAATAGATTTGAAAGAATCTGTAATTTGTAAGAAATCATTTTATAAATCAGGTTTCATTGACGTATTTTTGTTAAGACGGTTTTTGTCGAAATTCCGGTGCCATTTTTATTTATTGTTTGGCATACCAACTCCTTGTGGGTCATTTAATGCCGAAATATAATTTTCTTGGGAGCATTACTAATTTTTTTTTACAAAAGATGTATTGCTGGTAATATCTTTTTTCAATAATATATTGCCGGTATTTTTACTATAAAAATGTATTTTATAATAATTTAATAATATTTAACTCCCAGTTTGGGAGTTAAATATTTGCCCATAGTTGACAGGTGCTGCCATTCACGGTTCAGGGTGGAGTTGGGAAAAATAGCATTTAAAAGGTGGTACCAAGTTCCTCAAAACCTCCCAATCAGAGGCCTTGCTGCCGGATGTAATTTATCGTCATATCCAGGACTGCCCAGAATCTATTCGGTGATAATGAAACGTTACTAGTTCGGTTTTTGTAATATTGAATGATTCAAGTCATTTTCCACCATTTAGCTATTTGAGGTTGTTTG